TTACTTTGGAATTGATTATTTTATTACCTAACTATTAAACAACTTTGAACTCTCCAGAAAAATATGTAAAATCTGAAGGACACTATAGGAGTACCAAATCTTGATATGAAGAAATTGCCATCAGTTTTTACGAACTCCATCCAATATTCTGAATACTTTTGATACTAGATCTAGTTCAAGATCAAACTATCAGGTACATAGAAAATCTTGTTCGTTTTCCATTTCATATCTATCAAAACATTTTAAACACAATATTTTTGTTTTGGTTGATTTCTGGTTTTTGCCGTGGTTTTCTTTGGTTATAATCCCCAAACGTTTCGACTGCAACTGCGACAGTCATCTTCAGGGGCGGGGTCGAAGTACTTTTCTTGACGTGTCAACTGAAACAATAAATTTCAACAAATTCTTTATTCATTTCTTCTTTCAGAATACGAACATCTGTTGAATGGCCCAAACACAATGGGATTTGATAACGGTGAGATCATAAAATTAGTTTCACTAGTTCGGATTTCTATTGTCTACTATATAAAATGATTTGAAATCCCTGAAACAACTAAAAAATGAATAGCTGAAAATAACAATTATATTAAGCAAAATAAACCTGAAATGAAATAATAGTGAAATAAAATACAAGTAAAAATAGAACAATTGAATAAATAAAACGTGCTTGAAGATCCGTGAAGACATGGAGAATACAACAAAAAGTGGGGGAAGTTAGTAAGGAAACAATGCCCAAATACAAACCGAAAACAGGACAACTATGAAGCCGCCAACGTCATCAACATGAGTTCCCGCCCAGTCACGGGAATAGAGGAATCCTTGTTGAGGAAAGGCCTAAATTTCGCCATTAAGCCAACATCTGTGCCCACTTTGGAGATAATTACTGCAGTAGAATCCACCAGTTCCCTTATTGACCAGACCGAGGCAGAAGAGTTCAGATGGAAAATTAGAGAACAGCTGGATCGAGAACCAGTTCCAACACCTAACATCAGCAATGAAGAACGTAGAGCTCTGAACGGCCTACGTAGAGACAACACCATTAAGATCCTACCTGCAGATAAAGGATACGCTACTGTGGTAATGGATACCGTTCTGTACGAACGGAAGATCGAAGAGGTTCTTCAGAAGGGACGATACACAAAGATCGTACAGGACCCTACTGCATCCATCGAAAGAAAGTTGTACCAGATTTTGAAAAAACACCAAGTCTATTTTTCGGACAAGGAAAGATCATCGCTAACACTGCACCACAGTAAGCCTCCTCACTTGTATGGACTACCCAAAATCCACAAAAAGGACTTTCCGCTTAGACCGATCATCAGCTCCAGAGATTCGGCTACTCAAAACTTGTGTAGATTTTTTCTTCCCTTAATACAACCATTACAA